GGCACCTCTCAGAGACCTAAACCCTATGGGCTCCCCACTGAGCCCTTCACCCTGCACCCTATTTCCGCCCCATTGTTTCCTGCTTCAGCTACAGGCACCATTCTCATGTGTCTTCTACTTTCCTCTTCTTGGTCAGACTCCTTAGGTAAATTCTCCAATCCTCTTAGAGTGGAGTCCTCATCTCCACTCCTCAACATGGCAGCTTGGCTTGAAAGAAAGTGGCCAGCCCAAGGCTGAAAGGTTCATGCTTTCTTTGATGCCCTTCCTCCCATCCAACCCATCATTGGGAGGAGCTGACTCTCGTCCTCCAGATATTTCCCCAATTTGCCCATTTCTTCTCATCATCCCCTCTGCAACCCCTGAACTGGCCACTATTGATTCTCAAAAGTGACACAAAAACAGCCCCCACTGGTTTCCTGGACTCTGATCTTGCTTCCTGCTAACTGTTCACCTAAGGCCCAAGTGATATCCCCCAGAGGTCACCTCCTCCCTTCTATGCTTCTCCCTAGCATGTGTGTGTGTGTGTACCTGTGTGTGCATATCATATACATTTTCATCATGGCCTTCAAAGACCTGCCTGCCCACTCCCCATCTCATCTCTCATCCCCTCCCATTCCCCAGCTCTGCTCCAGGTTCTGGAAGGGGCCCACACACTTCCTCTAAACTCTGGGTCTTCACCCTCATTCCTACCCCACCTTAATATCTCCCCCACCTCAATCTTCCATCAGAATCTACCTAATTCCAGGGATGCCTGGGTGGCTCAGTGGTTGAACCTGCTGCCTTTGGCTCAGGTTGTGACCCTGGGATCCCGCGATTGAGTCTCACATCAGGCTCCCCGCAGGGAGTCTGCTTCTCCTTCTATATCTCTGTGTCTCTCTTTGTGTCTCTAATGAATAAAGAAAATCTTAAAAAAAAAAAAAAAGAATCTACCTATTTCCTCCAACTAAATCCCCACTCTGGCTGCCATCAAAATCACTTGGGAGAGAGCTTTAAAAAATCCTGATGCCCAGAACATTTCCCCAGAATCTCTGGAGGTGAGCCTCGTCATCAGGATTTTAAATCAATCAACTTAAGAAAAACCCAGGGTTGCGAACCTGGTTATGTCCTAACAACTCTTACTTGACAAGAGGCAGCCCCCAGCACCCCGCCTGTACACACATTTCCCAAAGCTCCTGTAACTTCCCTGCCTGGCATGTATGCCTGCTTATTGTGTTATGCTTAATGTTCCTCCACCCTGCTGGTATGCAAGCCCCGCAGATGGAGGCAGGACCAGGTCTGTCTGCTTTCCTCCGCATCTTCAAGGCTTAATCCCAAGAAGAAACTCAGTCCAGATTTGTGTCATGAATGTTGAAGGTCATTTCAAGGGTGACTGGAGGCTCTCATGCTTTGAACCTCTTTTCCTAAACAAAATCAATTGATGACCTCTACCCCACCCCCAAAGTAACAACTCCCCCTCTTTTACTTACTCAACAATGGCCTGCAATTCTACTACTAATAATGATTCATTCCTTTGGCTTAAAACTTCTCTCAATGCAAGTACAGCCCGAAAATATAACATTTGAACAGAGTTAGTCATTATACTTTGCCTTGAATGATTGCATCAGCTCTTAATAGTAGGGAGAGCAGAAGAATGACAATTTATTGAGTGTATCCTATGCACTAGACATTTTACATATGTGAGCTCATGAACGGAGTTCAATGAGTTAGTTCTGGAAACACCAGAAACTCAGGGAGGTTCAGGAATTAGCCCAAGGTAACAGAGCTGGTAAACTGATAGGAAGGGAGGGGAAGGACACAGAAGACATGCCTGGGCTTCAGAGGACCAACTTCACTTCTTTCCCCTGGCGCAGGGCTGCTGGGTGCTGGGACTGGTCCGGGGGGATGCAGTGTTATTGGCAAAGGCATCCTTCCAGGTACTCATCCTCTCTTCTAGCTCACGTCCAGCACGTCGGCAAATCCTGTTGGATTTGCCTTCAAAATATATCGGTACTCTGACCACTTCTCGGTACCTTCACTGCCCACTCACTGGACCTCTGTAAGAACCTTCTTGCTGCTTACCCTGCTTCTGCCCTGGTGCCCTCTCCCCACAAGGGTAGATCACATCCACATCCGCTCAAAACCTTCTAGAACTCCTACTGCAAGCTCTCATCCCCCACCTGCCCATCCTCCTCAGGCCTCATTTACAGCCCAAGCCCCTTCCTCAGCCCAGCCTTCCAGCCCACTACTGCTCCTCTTAACACCCTGCACCTGTCTTCCCCCTGCCTGGAGTGCCAGCCCGCAGACATGCATGCCCACTCCCTGCCTCCCCCTCCATGGGGCCTCCGACCAGCACCATTCACAACCTCCCTTACCTCCCCATTCCTTGAACACACTCTCTCCTGGCTTTATTTGTCCCCTAGCACTTGTCACAGGCTTAGAATCATATGTGCTTCACTTACTTGCTTGGTGCTTCTCCCCATAATGCACCTGCTTGAGGGCGGGGATTCCTATCTTGTTCTGTGCTGTAGCCTCAGCATCGAGAACACCGGGCATATAGTAAGTTTTCAATAAAAGTTTATTGAGTGAATGGAGGATTATGAATAATCAATTTGAAAAATAGGGTGCCACTCTACTTTGGGAGATACTATGTATCTTTAAAGATGTGCTGGCTCAAAGTCCAGAGTGTGACATTCGGGCTTTACTATGCATTGCTGGGGTCTGGTGGCTCTAATCTGAGATAAATTAAAACTCCTACCAGTGGTCCAATTCTAATACTAAGGAATAGTCTAAGGACTTGCTGTGTACACAGACATGTAGATGTTTACATGTATTTGTTAAATGAATGAACAGGAAAACATCAGCTTTCATCGGAACGATAGACTGAGATGCCAGTGATTCAAAAGGCCAAAGTCTGTTCTATTATGCACAAAGTTTAGACCTTCACCGAGCAGCAGCAAAGTATGTACTATTTAATTATTGTTTGATTATACCAATATTATTAGAGGGTGATGTAATGTAGCAGAAGTACATGGCTTAGAATTGAAGTACCCCAGGGAACCCCCACTCTCTGCTTGGAGGCTGTGGGATCTCTGGTTACTTGGTGCCTTCCAGTTTCACTGGGTGATATGGACCTAACAGGTAGTTTGAATGCTTCATTCGCCTTTCCCTCTCTGAGCCAGCAGATTTTTCCATCAGATTCCCAGGTCCCTCTCCAGACCCAGTAAATCAGACCACAGTGGGGGATGCAGCCAGGATCCTGCATTTTATTTTTATTTTATTTTTTTGGATCCTGCATTTTCAACAGGCATTCCCCAAGCCTGTAGGCTGCTGCTGCATGACTGGCTCCAGTCTTGCTCCTCTGAGCCCTCCCTGGACTAGCATCAGCATCAGCTGGCAGCACGTTAGGAAGGCTGTGTCTCAGTCTCCACCGCAGGCCTTGTCGACAAGATCCCTGGGAATGGTTGGCACTTTGAAAACACTGCTCTCTCCCACCTGATTGGACCAACTTTCAGAGCCCTCCAGCCCTTCTCTCCAACTTCCTAAAGGGGGCCCGTGAAAAACTTTTAGTTCAGGGACAAGCCTTTCATTTCACAATAAGGGAAAGGCTTAAGATGCCACGGTCTACCCCGAGGGAGCCCCAGGGGAGCCCCAGGGGAGAAGGCTTCCACAGGGTAGATCAAGGCAAACGTTTCATCGCTAACATTGCTTGGTGAAGATGCAGGACCAAGAGAACAGAACGGGACTGAGCATCTAAGAGGAGGAAGAGATTGCTCTTAAGGGAGAAGGAGCAGGGGAAGGGGCCTGGGGACAGAAATGGGGTTCAGCCCTGTTGCATCTGTAGGTTTTCATGCTGTGGCGGCAGAGGGCAAGGCTTCTGGGGGAGACAGCTTGGGGAGGTTTGCTTTACCCAGAAGACTGCTTAGGGGATTTAAACCTGGTGCCTGGGGGATTTGTTAACCTTGAGCAGAGTCAGAGACATTGGCTAACATGACTCCTCAAGGAACTAATCACACTTACTTATACATATTTTTATATATTTTATTTATAAATATTTTGCATATATATATATATATATATATATATATATATATATATTTAAAGCATCCTTGAAATCTGAAGTATGGTTCCTATTTAACCGTGACATGGGAGAACAAGAGTAAGAAAGCTAAACAGGGGGGCGCCTGGGTGGCTCAGTCGGTTAAGTGTCCAACTCTTGGTTTTTGGCTCAAGTCATGATCTCAGGGTCATGGGATAGTCCCGCAATGGCTCTGCGCTCAGCTCGGAGTCTGCCTGAAGATTCTCTCTCCCTCTCCCTCTCCTTCTCCCCCTCCCCCAGCCTGTGCTCTCTCTCTTTCCCTCTCTTTGTTTAGAGAAATAAATAAATAAAATCTTAAAAAAAAAACTAAACAGAGAATTATTTAAATATATAAATATCACACATAGCAAAAATCTCATCTTTTAGTAATGTTAACAACCAACATGGGAAATTACTTCCTGTGTACCCGTTGTACATAAAGGAGGGCACAACTGGGACATTATGAGCTTCATGGAACCAACTGGAGCTGGTTCTGATGTGGGGTCAACACTATTCATGGACGATGAGCCCTAGTTCCAATACGCCGGGAGACCTGACGCAAAGTGAAGACCCCCCCAGGTACAATATGAATAGCACCCTGCCCCCCCATCCCCAATCTTCCCTGGAGTTTCTCTTCTGCGGGAACCCAGACTTTTACACACTGTGTTTACCTAAAGCAAGACACACACCTTTTTCTTGGCTAGTCTAGAAAAGCCACTTGATGGCGCGTTCTCTTCTTTTCGCGTTGGTCTCCTGTCATTATGCCCCCCCTCCCTCCCCTAAAGCCTGCAAAATGAATCTCAGCCAAGCAGGCATTGATCCCAAAGGTCACTCTGGTCTTAAGCAGAAACCCTGTTAGCACCCCCCAGTAGCCTTGAACCCCCACCACGGGAAGGGATCCCCTCTGTCCGGGGTGGCTGGGGAGCAGGGAGGGGTGACACGTTACCTGCCAGGTACTCGATGACTGCTGCCATGTAGACGGGAGCACCCACGCTGATCCGGTACTTGAATGTCCCTTTCTTCAGGTACCGCATCAGCCTCCCCACGGGGAAGATGACGCCGGCCCTGGCTGAACGGGACAGCTTGGACATTTTCTTCTTCCCGCTCCGGCCCGACATCTTGCCTCAGTTTCCCTCTCAGCTTGCTGACACGGAGGCCTCCCGGCACTAACACGATGCTGAAAAGGAGAGACAGTAGGGTGAGGAAGGGTGGTTGGCGAACATTTTGGGGATGGTCATGTGGCACTAGGGCACCGCGTGACACATCTGGTTGTCCCGAGAGGCAGCTGAGACCTGGCTGCCATTGCAGGCCACTGCAGGCTGGACGCTGGGCATGGGGACTCCGCAGTGCATCAGCAACCCCCCCCCCCCCGCTACGGACATCTCCCCCGTCCCATCAAGCCCGCCCAACCTCAATGGGAGAGGCCAAAGAAACTTCATTAGAGAAAGGGGTCATGGGGCTGTCGTCTGCAGGACAGCGGCCCCAAAGGTGCCCAGAACCCCTGCATGTGTCACCTTATATGGCAAAAGAGACTTTGAAGATATGGTGAAGTCAAGGATCCTGAGATGGGGAGATTATTCTGGAATATTTGGGCGGGCCCAGTGTAATTGCAAAGGTTCTCTTAGGAGGGGGCAGGAGATGAGAGAGTAGTAAGAAGTGCAAGGAGGGAAGCAACGGATTCTCCCCTCAGAGCCTCCAGAAGGAATCAGCCCTGCCAACACCTTCACTGAAGCCCAGAGAACCTGATTTTCATCCTTCCCGCTCCAGAACTGCCAGGGAATAAAATCCTATTACTTTAACCCCTACATTAGGGCTAATTTATTATAGCAGCAGCAAGAGAACAGATATGATTACTCTTCGCCCTAATTTGCTCCTGCCTGTCTGAATCCAGAGTACTTAGTTATACAGCGATGCCTGTCCTGGTCGGCTCTGATGGACGGACGACTCAGAGCTGATGTGTGTTTCTAAATTCTCCAACAATAGAGCATTCGTAAAAACAGAAATACGTCAGAAGATGCAGTTGATTAAATATTCTACTGCAGAGTAACCAAACCTAGCAAACTAAAAGTTACAAAGCTGCCCAAGCTTCTGCTCCTTGGAATGAGGAGTCCAGGCCAATTGAAGGGAGAAACTTTAGAATCAGTCTCAAGAAGTGACTTCAGTACCATGCACCATGAGATACGCCTATAATTCATGGTTATTTCAGGAAACGATCTTCTGTATGAAGATAAGATCATTATATACTTCCAAAAAGCTAATTCAGAGAATTTTAATAGAGCTTTATCCATTTGTTGGGGGTATATTGTGCCCAAAAGATGGGATATAATACATAAAAGCAAGTTAGATAGGACAGACACATGGGCATGACCAAAGGAAAAAAAAAACAAAATTTCTAGGAAATGTATTAATGAATCAAAATTCTCTGCTCCAAGGGCAATGTCATTCTTGAGGGCCGTTTCATCTGGGAATGCAAAATAAGAAAGGCAAAAACACACTTGAGATTGGTTCTGTTTGCGGAGGCTGCCTGTCTCGCATGCTGGCCAGGCCGGTGGACCAATAGCCAAAGTGGTCATGAAAAGGCCCAAGAAAGTGGGTAAAAAAAATATGATGAAAGGAAGTGCTACACGGATGCACGGCTGATGGGAAAGACACGAAGCTGGGATTTATTTAATCTGGATGGAAGAACGAACATAGAGTTCAGTTTCCTCAAGTAGTTGATTACCCCGTTACGACTGAGGAGTTTTATATAAACAGTATGGAATTGGCAACCAACCCCGTTCTTGACATCCTCCTATCTCCGAGGTGAATAATGTGAGTTTGAGGCGTTTTATTACATACTTCACATACATTATTTTTTACATGCTCATACGTACTTACTATACTCCTATTTTATGAGTCGTTTTGCCACCAAAATGTGTAGGTATTCATCAAAGTTGAGTACAAGCAAAGAGGAGCAAATGGCCTTACAATATTATCTCTTTTGCAGTAAGGCGCAGGGATCAAACACTATCACCCTTTTTAGAACTTGCACATTTTCTGTGCCTCTGCTGTGCCAGGCTGCTACCTCTCATGAAGCCACTCGGATGTCTTCCCTTGGAGGAAGCAAGCAACAGCAATATTAGCATTTTAGCCATCAATTTACATTAAGGAAACTGAGGTCACGCATCTGTCAATGTCCGCAGTACCTGCTGTTGGTCATCGCTGACCCAAGGCATAGGGGACTCATAAAGCAATGTGAATTGGTCCTGTCCCCAGAGAGAGCTAAATGACAGATTTGCTAGCTGCTGGTAGTGTTTGAATGGAGGGGGCTCCTGATACAGTGGGAGCCTCCAGGATGGGGAGCAAAAAACCTGGGTGAGGTCCTGCTTCTACATAACTAGCTAGGGGAGCTCTGTGTTCATTGGTGTGGACCTCATCTGTAAAATAAGGCAGTGACTCATTGATCCCAAAGGTCACTCTGGTCTTAAACACTCCAGTGTTTGTGAAATGCACTTTCAAATGGTTCTGGAAAAGCTTTCGTACCTTTAGGAAATGAATTTTGTAGAGTTAAGAGCCTGTACAGGTTCATAAAGATGTATGAGTATTGGTGACTCTGCTAAGCGAATTATGTGCTTTTTGTAGTTATGGGTAAGTTGGGGGAGGGAGAAGATTAGTAGGTATGGTTGCCAAGGAAACCACCTGAAAAGTCCATCACAGAGTGGACTTGCCCTGTGGATACTCTGCACACTAGATGGTCACGATCTCTCATACCAACAGAGAGAATGACGCACAAAACACAAATACACAAGGGCAGGACATACTCATCCCTCCCTACTCCACCATATTTTTCTCAAATGAAAATAGCCAGAAAATGACTAAGTGTGCGGGATAAAACCTCCTAGGGACTCCTCCAGTGTCAGCCAAGAGGAGTCACAAATTTCCCTAAATACTGAGAATTAGTGGCAGTAGAAGGAAAACAGGTGATGTTAGGGGACTGACGCCTAAAACTCTCATGAAGGGAAGACAGCCAAGGAAAGAAAACCAGGGTTAGATCATGTAGGGATCACTCTACACATAGCATTTTGTAACCACACTTTCTTTAGCTTCCAGATTTTCCTCCAGATTAAGACCTTAGATCTGGGGATGTGGCTCTGTCTGAAGTCTCAATGGGAGATTGTGCCTGGGGAACCCATCTTTGCAGACACCACGCTGAGCTTCAGCAGCTGGGCACCCCAAACTCCTGGGCCCCTGATGGTGGGGGGACCTGTACATTGTAGGAATCAGACCACATCTGGAAATCCCTAAAGATTCAGAAAGGATGCAGATGGAGCGGACATGTCACACCTCCTGGACCCTACAAGTGGAAGGAAGTGCTTGGCATCCACTGACCACTCCAGAGAAGACCCTGTGTTTACCCATGACCCCTGCCCCCAGCCTGCACTGAACTCCACCTGGAGTGGTGAGACATCATAACTCCTAAGGTCCTTCGTTCCCAGGCTACCCCTTCCCCTGACTCTATCTAGTCTTGGGAGGTCAGGAGTTTAAAAACTTGAACAGGTTTTTATCTACTTGCCACAAATCTCCAAATCTCTGTGGAGGGCTGCTCATCTAAAGAGAAAAGAACTATTGCAATGTGAAATTTGTTTCCATCAGACTAATACTTAAATGTTTACATTTATTTACCTTCTGCTCTAAAACATTTTTTTCTATAATTAGGCAAAGCTAAGGACTACAGTACATTATGTTTGTTTACAAGTTTGAAGACAAGAATATGGCTGGATGAAACTCTTCCAGTGGTTATAGGCACCACGTGGGGGCCCCCCTGGAGCCTGCACATGGTCAAGCTCAGCTGGTCCAACCCCTCCAGGCCCATCCTGGGGTATCATGGGGTCCTTAGGAGGAGTTGGGAACCAGAACAGATAACCTAGATCTGTAATATATCTATCCTTTCATATTGGAGAGACCAGGAAAAACCGAGATATAAAGTCTCATAGTTACTTGCAAAGTGAACGGGAGAGTTTTCAGCATGCTAACCGTGGGGACTCAGGGAAGAAGGGGGGAGAATGCAGAGCTGCTCATTCCCTTCTCCCTCCAAAAGCACAGTTGGAAGAACAAAACTGGTTTCGCGTGTGCTGGGCAGAGGGCACATTTGGACTCTATATATTTAGGATTTAAAGCCCATAAGGACACTGATGGGCTAGATTTTACAGACACCACAAGGGTAAACATCAAATTGTAGCATTGACTCAGACATGGGCAATAAACTCACACCAGCCTATTCAAATCACTGCTGTATTTCATTGATTTTATGATGCCTTTTTTTTTTACACTTTATTATCTCTGGAAATCAGTATGCATCTTCCAACTATGACGTCATTGATTTCATGAAAGATAGTGTTTATGAAGTGTTTATTATTGAACGAGAAACTACATTCGTTGTGGAATATACATGGCCCTTGTCCTCAAATATTTTCCAATGAAGTCGTAAGACAGACCGTGTTAAAGTTTCAAATAGATGCTGGAGACATGGTTCCTAAACTGTGCACCAAGGTACCCTGGAACAGACAAGCCAGCAGACGTTTGAGCTTCCAAGGGAAATGAAGTGATACTCGACCTGTTGGACTCTACAACTATAGGGTCAAAGTGTTCCTACCAGTGGTTCATGGTGGGTCGTACTATCTGCTTTCTCATGGTGTTGCATCTTAGAAAGCTGAGTTTTTGGTGGCTCCTGTGATTAAAGCAAGGGCCAGGGAGAAATCAATGTGGAACAGAAAATGACAGTGGCAGTGTCCAACCGGATTCTAAGGTTCGAGAAGTTGTGCAGTGCCCAACAGGTGCACACACCCTATTTGTAATTCATTATGGCTATCTGTGAATGGTATACAAATATTCTTTTTTCTTCTTATTCATGAATCAGTTTTTTTTTCCAAATAGCTTTTAATTGCAAGGACATACATACTTATTAAGTTGTTTGGACCTCACCACTTAATAAATGGAATTGATAGGCATTTCTTCTGGCCTAGGCGCTTGGAGGAAAAAATGGCTGAGATAGCAAATTTCTCTGTGAACTGAAAAAGTCTGAGAACTTCTCTTAGGGCCCATCACCCACAGGCTGAAACCTAGAAATATGATTTGCTCAAGGTCACCCTGAATCAAGGCAAACAAAAAAGTTAAAGAAGCTATTTAAAATTTTGAGTT